TCCAAACATTTGGTCTACCTATGTTGTAAATGTATTATCTTTTCGATTTACACACGGCATCTATTGCACGTCTGTCCGTCCTGGTTTCTCCCATTTTCCCCTTTAAACTGTGGGGTTTTTCCTTTTTTGGNAGGCTTAAGGAACAAACCATAGGAAACCTGTTCATTGTCAATGATATTGGATCATAGTAAATGTACAACGGAGAATCTTGTCTGGACCTGGATCATTGCCCTGCGTAAGATCTGCTGACTAGTGCCTCAGCGGCTGTATTATTTTAAGTTAATTATCTGTTTTATTTCTATATGATTTTGGCCGCTACAATACCTTTTCACAAGGGTCATTTTTAATGTGGAAGTTATTACTGTGGCTAAGTGATTTAAGAACCACGCAGCAAATTTGGGTGGTAATCTGTATATGTTTTATTGTATTAACGTGAAAGTATGTGATACTTTCACAAAAATTATCTTCATCCTCAGTTATGTTCCTTTATATTTAGATGACTATATCTCCTACTTTTACTGATTAAACACTGCAAATGTTCATAACACATTTCTAAGAAAAAGGGTTTGACTAAATAATCAGTCGGAATGAATTTGTGTTTTTTCCCGGATAATTGAGGACAACTTTGACTTTTGTTGAAATACCAGTTACAAGCATTGAGTTTGCCTAGAGGCCCTTCTCACACAGTTTCCTTTTGTTCTGCGGTCTCCTTGCAGCAGCTTCCTGTGGTGACATCCAGCACCATCGTCCGGTGTCGGTCCTGCAGAACCTACATCAACCCCTTCGTCTCGTTCCTGGACCAGAGGAGGTGGAAGTGCAACCTGTGTCATCGGGTCAATGATGGTAAGAAAGGGGGTGAGGTCTTTAAGATTCGATCATCTGAAAGACCCACTGTCAGTGAAAATACTGGATTCGATAAACAAGTATCCAATGATATGATGATAATATTGATATCAGTTTTGTACGTGTTTTCTTTGGGTCCTTCACCCTCATGGTTGAGAATAGAATTACAGTCAAACTACAGGGAACTGTAGTTCATACCTAAACCTCACTAACTGTTGTGTATGTGTGTAGTTCCAGAGGAGTTTATGTACAACCCAGTCAGCAGATCGTACGGAGAGCCTCACAAAAGACCCGAGGTCCAGAACGCCACCATCGAGTTCATTGCTCCTTCAGAATACATGGTAGGTTTCAACAGGTTTTATTGACATTAATGTTGCTTAGGAACTGCACAGTTATCTGCATGCTCTGTTAATTGTTCATGAATAGCTCATTTCCATTTTAGTTCACAGGCCCAAACTATATATAATTGTGATGCTGTGTTTTCATCGATGTTGACTTACCTTATGTGCCTTGATTTACACAGCTGAGGCCCCCCCAGCCTGCAGCTTACCTCTTCGTTCTCGACGTATCCCACAATGCAGTGGAAACAGGCTACCTGAATGTGTTCTGCCAGTCAATGCTGGAAAACATCAATGCGTATGTACAGCATTTCATTTCCAGGTGTTATAAATGTTGAAAGAGAGCAGGGGCATTTTATCATTTAAGAAAATCAACAGTGCGTTTAAACTGTACAGTGCTGTACACACTGTACACACACATTTCGCTTAATTGTTTAAAATGTCATATGTAGATTGTACACATTATTTTCTGAGTATAAGTTATTTCTTATCGGTTAAAAAATACACTTGATTTTGCCAAAACATGTCACACAAATAACTTTAAAGTTTGCTCCGTTAAGGTTTTTGTTTGTCTGTGTGCCAGGCTTCCTGGAGACTCTCGGACAAAGGTAGGTTTCATCACCTTTGACAGCACCATCCACTTCTACAACCTCCAGGAGGGACTCTCACAGCCTCAGATGCTCATCGTGTCGGACATCGAAGGTGAGGCGCATCAGACAGTGACACTAATAAATGTAAAAGCTATCAAGAGATCACTGTTCTTTTTGGGTAGGCTGTTGTTTTTCTGTTTTTGGTGAAAATCTTTCAAAATGTACCGGAATCATCATTGCCTAATGTTACAATAAATCGTTTTTCAAGAGTTTAATGATGCAACTCAATTAGTTGGCAGAAGCATACAACCATGAAGAGGGTTGTTTTTTGTCATTATGTGTTAATTTAATTAATTTCTTCATGGTGTCTGCACACATCTGTCTATATCACTGCTATGATATTAGAGTTTTAAATATATACTTTTGACCCCCACAGATATCTTTTTACCAACACCAGACAGCCTTCTAGTAAACCTCAATGAATGCAAAGAGGTAAGAAAATGTTCCTTGATATCTGGTGTTTTGTTGAAGTGAATATGATGTAGATCAGGGCTATTCAATTAGTTTGGAATGGGGGCCGGTTGATGAAAATGATCCAAAGCAAGGGATTGGGAAAAAGATGGCTTGAAATATGAGCCAATCATATTAAGAGCTTTCAGATAACAAGTAAATACTACAACAGCATAAGTGGAGTGGCATATATTGGTGTTTAATTAAATCAATTCAACATAGCCCCAGGTCTTTCTATATTGAAAATGGCAAGTTCAGAACTCAGTAGGCCTACATGTGAAGCTCAACATCAATTTAATTTCATTCATTTCATTAGGTGAAATGATTAATCATTATGCAGAGATGGCATAAATGAACGGGAGTTGTCACTACAGTCTGGCTAGTTAGGTGGGTTCGAAACCGCGAGCCTGCCAAAGTTTTCAGGCAATGTCTTCCCTCTATCTCTCAATTTAACACCCTCTCTGGAATAAAGGCACTCTGGCCCAAGAAGAAAAATAAAAGTAGATGGTACTTTTCAAGCATTATACTCAAAGGACCAGTTAATATCAGACCCAGCGGGGCTGGAATTTGGCGCGGGCCGGCCCATTGAATAACACCTGATGTCCAAGATATCACTCAAAATCCTTCTCATTTTGTCTATTTCTGATGTTAAGCTTGAACACTCACTGTAGCACTGGTCATGTGACTCAAACACCTCGAGTCAATTCCCTTTTTATTCTTGTTAATTTCAGCTTGGTGCAGGATCTGCTGAAGAGTCCTCCCACACTTTGTGTTTCAAAAAGACAATGGAGAACACAGTCCGCCCTGGGTTCAGCTCTGGCAAGCAGCCTTCAAGCTCGCTGTCGCCACCGGAGGGCCGCATGAACATCTTTAGACCCAGACTTTGCCCTACATCGGTGATGGGCCTTCAATCCAGAGAAANTACAAACTGTGAAGTCCACTGAGACAAATGTAACATTTGTGATATTGGGCTATATAAATAAACATTGATTGATTGATTGATTGATTGATTAAAAGTGACAAAAAAAACGACTTTATTTAATAGTGAAACTGCTTTTGCGTGTGTGTGGATTTTTACATTACATTACATTACATTGCATTTAGCTGACGCTTTTATCCAAAGCGACTTACAATAAGTGCATTCGACCAGGAAGATACAACCTTTAAGAAAACAGAATCATATAAGTACATCAGGTTTCATAGAGCCAAACATTTCAAGTGCTACTCAACTGGCATTTAAAAAGCCAGCCCTTTATTAGTATATAAGTGCTTTGTTAGTAATTTTATCGCTCGAAGTGGAGTCTAAAGTGTGATTTGAGTGTGTGTGTTTGAACAGACTCATGGGGAGATGCCATTTAAAGTAACATGCTGAGAGAAG